TATATATATATATATATATATATATATATATATATATATATATATATATAATTAGACTCTCATCTTAGCCTCCCTCCCGTCTTCGTGCCCGGGTTGAACTGATTATGGATGTGACATAGAGGGGTGGAGGAGCATTATTTCCAAACTGTACACAAACGTGAATCGGGTTTTCGGAATCAGCCTGATACTTGACGTAACCATATCACTGATACGAGTACAGTAGAGACTGCCCGTAATGTAATGAGCGGTAGAAGGGGTAAACCTTAGTCGCGTGTACCAGCTGTTCACTGATGATGATAATCGAAGCATAACTCCTGAGACCCAATCAGGATAGTCTTGGTTTTGAGGCAAACGGCTACCAAAAATAGATTGTGATGGCACGGTGCGAACTACAGACCCCATAGGTCAATGAATACAAATCAATCCACTGGTTTAGCATCGCACTTGTTATTACATACCACAGTACATGACAGCTAATCCAAAAGTAACAACAACTGCTATTGGAAACTGGCAATCTGATCGGTAAATCCTATGAGGGCTTAGTAAGTTAAGAACGCTATTCAAGATGACATCATACAGTGTTTTTAGTAACAGTGTGTATCCGGAATAAACTTTGGATCAGCACAACAGTAATAACCTCTCCCGTCAGTGTTTCTTTTCTCTGGGGTAGTCTCTCACGTTATGTAGTCCTCTTAAAAACTTTTAATAAACCGCTTCGCCTTGATTCTCACACACCGAATTCAGTTCAATGCGTATGCTTAAAAGTAGCACTGCACCGTGCCTTATTTGCAGATATCATCGGCCAGGCATACTATGTTACCATCTGGTTATCTGAAGAGGCCGTCCGTATTGATCCGTCCCCAGAAAGTATCCATATGGGAGTCCGTTTTTAGTTTGCACAGATATCAATGTGGCACTTGGACGTCCATTTTACCAACAAAGTGAAATAGCACTATCAAAATAAAAAAACGAAGCAATTAACCTGTGGATAGTGAGTAACTGCATAAGTGCCGGTGTTAGCGATACTCAGTTGTACATAACTCAATGTGGCTGGCCGGTTGTTAGTTTGGTCAAGGGTACGCAACCATAGAGCCGAATACGACCTAGATCTCCAGTTAGAGTTTTCATATTCTGAAGGCTGGTCAAAGTGGACGATGTTGTTACCGGGCGGTCGCCGACTGCATGCATTGCTGTTGTGTTTAATCAGTCATCAACCGAAACTGCGCTGTGATGTGCGACTGTGTCATATTTTGTTTGGTCGTTGATGTAAGCCTCGAAGTAATCCCCTTCAGGTACATGTTTCGTATTTATATCTCCGATAGAGCACTGGTGGAATATTCTCACCATATCGACAGTTGTGTCTACTGTGCAATTCAGTGAGACATTCCTGCAGTTGTTTGCACTCCAGTTGGGAGAGCACGCAAACAATTATCTACCGGGGGCAGCGATTGAAACACTATTGCATTGTCACATTCATGCAGATCGATGCATAAATTCACTCACTTAACTTCAGCGGTAATTAGCCCCATGAGACGACTGAAGTGATGTATTCCCTTTTGTATGCAACGAGCACACACATCTGAATGATGCCGACGCCCTTTGGGGCCGCGCCCAAAAAATTACAACTGACTGGCAGAGAAATTATCTCGGTTATCAACGTTCAACTGGTCGCTCGCTGTCTTTTCAGGGGAAGCAATCTGGATGTGTGGTGTCGGTGTCGTGTTTGTGTGCGTCACGAAGCCGTTGTTGCTTAGGCATACACACCGTCGCCGTTTGGTTACTATGGTACCACCAAGCCGTAAACACGCATCGGAGCACACAGGAACCAACTAAGGCCATAGACACAGCTAAGGAGGCGTTTGCTCTCCCGTAGTGGACACGCATCCGTCAGGTGACCTGAATTAATCTCAATCTTAAAACTACGAACACCCAATATATTACTGTTTACCATCCGCTCACAGAAACTCACATTATACGTTCGGACATCCGAACACGACACGTTTAAGGTGTGCGGACCAAGAAAAAAGTACAAGGATTGAAAATCACAAAAAACAGCCTTCACTTTTCACCCAAATTCTCCTACATCGTATTTTGTGGATTCATAGTAGCAGTGTATGCTTAATAACTACCCTCCCAATAGAACACACAAAAATGTCAATGTCGATGAAAGTGTGGTCACGTTTCTACCGAGTAGTTTCGTGGGACGTGCCTATTAGGCTGAATTCGATGCGACAGTCAATTCGTCTTCGATCAACTCCCAAACACACGTCGACTTATTAAACTGCTCACTCGATCCCGCAAAGTCAACGTTTGCAGTTTGATTACGAACCCATGACTCTCTTGTCCCCATAGCACATGATGTGGTCTTCACCTGGATTGCGTTAGGAATGGTGTAAAAATGTAAGGTATATCAGGGTTTTATCAATCTTCCGCTTGAAAGCTTCAACAGTCGGCGCGCAAATGACGTGGCGCATATTCTGATGGCAAAAGATTGACACTGGGATTCAGTCCCCATACATGAAGAGCTAACTTTAAATGACCTCCTTAGAGGTGGATGCAGACGGCATGCTCGGTGTGCTTGTGTTCTGTAATGCCTAGTGCAACAAAACCAGGTCCTCGAATTCGGCCATACTGAGTGGAATATAATCCCAATGGTTGTAATTTCTCCACGTAAATGAAGCAACGCAATCCCTTGACCATCTTTGTGGACGTTTCAGCATCTTGCAATTACGAAACCATGGACTACAAGCTTGAATGTCGTACTTTGTATACAGTCCAATGTAGACTGATAGTACATGTGGGAGCAGTTCTGATTTACACCGAGCTAAGACATGCCCAAGCAAACCAACATCCTTCACAGCTGCGAACGAGGACCCGGCACAATAGATTGAGCAGCTTGAGTCTTCTAGTCTCTAACTACGTAAGTTTCAATAGTTGAAAACTTGCCAATGGATGTCTTTTGCCAGCAAATTCAAGGTCCTAACCGTAAAACAAGACTAAACGAACCGTGGAACAATACATTAGAGATTTCAACTTCGGTGAAACCTCGCGTCTACGCTATAGGTGTTTCAGTCCGGCGTATGCTGCTCGATGTTTCGGAACGCTCGCGGGTTTCTCCTTTATAGCGCCACCGTCATGCAACTACCTAGGTAGGAGATGAAATCCATCATAACCAGTTACTGACCACTTGGCATTAAAACGGTAATACTCAACACCCAGCCACGTAGTATCAGTTTGCAGTTTTGAAGATACAAAGCGAATACCGTATGAAGTGAAAGAAACCCTTCGAATGTCAAGTGCACTTGGTCAAGGCTCCATAGTATCGTGTAGACAAACGCTTTCACCTAAGTACCCTGAGGTACAACCTTCCTAGCTATTCTATCGATGACAACATTTTAGAGATCA